TCAGGGCAAAAAGTCACACGTGCAATAGTTGCTTTTCTTGAGTGCTCTTGCGTCACCACCGCAGTTTCCAATTTAATTCTTCTGAAATGATAGGAAAACAGTTGCAGGGCCCAGAGGAGGTCCAAACAGGCGTGAGGGTGAAATAGGAAATTGGCTCACTCCAATTAGTAAAGCAGATTTCCCCAGACTCTTTCCTCCCAAGCTTATTCGCACTGGAATTGAGGGTCCCTGTTTTCGTTCTGTCAGCCGTAGTGAGGTGTCGAATTAGGCCTGGGGATTTAGGAAACCATCCGATTGCTCCATGTCTGACAATTGGAGTTGAATGCCAAGTTTTGGGTTGCCAAAATGACACGGTAGGACTCGAGAATTACAGGTAGTCCTCGACTTACAACAGTTGGTTTAGTGACCGTTCAAAGTTACCACAGCACTGAAAAAAAGTGTCTTAGGATCGTTTTTCACAGTTACGACCAGAGGTGGTATTCAGCAGCTTCTGGCCAGTTCTGGAGAACCGGTAGCAGAAATTTTGAGTAGTTCTGAGAACCGGTAAATACCACCTCTGACTAGTCCTGCCCACATCTATTCTCTGCCTCCCGAGTCCCAGATGATCAGGAGGAAATGGAGATTTTGCAATAACCTTCCCCTGGAGTGGAGTGGGAATGGAGATTTTACAGTATCCTTCCCCTGCTACGCCACCAAGCCATGCCCACCAAGCCACGCTCACAGAACCAGTAGTAAAAAAATTTGAATCCCACCACTGCTTACGACCTTAGCAGCTTCCCCATGATCAATTGATCGAAGTTCAGACGTTTGGCCACTGGCTCATATTTGTGACAGTTGCAGTGTCCCAGGGTCATGCGATCCCCTTTTGCGACCTTCTGACAAGCAAAGTCAATGGAGAAGCCAGATTCACTTAACAACCGTGTTACTAACTTATCAACTGCAGCGATTTGCTTAACAACGGTGACAAGAAAGGTTGTAAAATGAGGCAAAATTCACTGGACAACTGTCTCACTTAACAACAGAAATTGTCAATTGTGGTCGTAAGTCGAGGACTACCTGTATAATGTTTGTCAGTTGTACGGGATGGAGATAGATACAAGCCACAATAGAAGAACCCCCAACTTTTCCTTGCTCAGCCATATGAGGATTTGGGATGATATTCGTTGAATGTTGGCGAACAGGAGGAAGGAAATGAAAAATGGGCCTCTTTATTCTTCTTCCTGCTACTATGACCCATTTGTGAATTTCCCTCCTTCTTTATCTCTTTCCGCTTTCATTCATAGATCGGAAGCTAACAGTTCCAACAGCTGTATTCTGTAGGAATATTGTATGTCTATCTTGCTCTTCATAAAAATGTAGAAGGGCTGTGTTGCAGTGGTGGGTTGCTACTGGTTCGCCCCGGATTGAGCGAACCAGTAGCGCCGGCAGCAGGAGGCTCCGCCCACCCACCCGGATGTCTCTGAACATGCGCAGAAGCTTTATGCACACACACATGCGCTCGCCCACGAGCGAACCATTAGTGACCGAAATTGAATCCCACTATTCTGTGCTGGATCTGTTTAAAAGTGCAGGTAGTCCTTGACTTACAACAGTTTGTTTAGCGACTGTTCAAACTTACAACAGCACTGAAAAAAGTGACCTACGATTGTTTTTCATACTTCACGACCGTTGCAGCGTCCCTGTGGTCACATGATCAAAATTCAGACGCTTGAGATGTATGCATGACAGTAGCAGTGTCCCGGGGTCATGTGATCCCCTTTTGTGACCTTCTGACAAGCAAAGTCAATGGGGGAGCCAGATTCACGTGACAACCTAACTTAACATCTGCAGGGATTCACTTCACAACTGTGGCAAGAAAAGTTGGAAAATGGGGCAAAATTCACTTAATGACTGTCTCACTTAGCAACATACATTTTGGGCTCGATTATGGTCATAAACGAAGGACTACCTGTACATTTTTAACAGGATGTGTCATGTTGACTCTCACAAAATAGCTCCCCTCTCCAAGTCCATCCTGAACCACAAGACATTGCAATGGCTCACAACTGTCTAGAGTCCAATTCAGGTGATATATAAAAGTCATAATCGGTAATAAAACTCAAACCTGCTGTCAGAATTCCAAATCTTCAAAAAGTTGATTTATTCCAAATATGCATTCTCAGCTTTAAAGTGCCCAGATTTTTGCAGGAGAGCAAGGGGGATTTTGCTTGGGGCTTGAAATTGCATCTGAATTATTCCAGCATAATTAGCGATCCAATCATCCTGCTCCAAATCTCTCCATCCTATTGTATTTTTCAAAAAATTAATTGAGAAAGCAAAATGTAAAATATTTTATTTTGTTTTGAAATGGGGCTTCCTGAGTGCCCTGTCGATATGCACATTATTGGTGTGTCTTTGTGTGTGTGTGTGTATGTTTTGTTGGATTTGTGCCTGGACCATCTCATGCGATATATCTTTTCTTTGCAACATCCCCAAATAAATCAATTAAGGGAGGATCTTAATCTTCATGTGGAAGATGGCATGCTTTGTAGAGGATGGTCCTCTAAGTGAACGGTCATTTAATTCAAGTCTGATTTAAGGATTAAACAACAAAAGGAGTTGCCATATATAAATCTTGACAGGGAGGGCCTTGGGGAGGGCCTAAAAAGTCAGCATGGCATCTCTAATTGCACAATTGAATCCCATCTCTTTTTATGCACATCATGCAACACATGTAAAAGGGGCAGGACTTCAATTGTTTGGTTGCAGCTGCCATATTGATTTTTTTTTTTTGATGCTGAGTGTTAGTAATTATTTCCTTCTTTTTTTCTCTTCTTTCCTTGATTATCCCTGTTTCTTACTTTTCCCTTTATCTTTTCATTTCTTTTTCTTTTTTCTAATTTTTTAATGCATCCTGGATAAAATTATTTCTCAATAAAAATTATATTTAAATATAATTTCTCTCTCCTCTATTAATTCTAAATTGACTGAGGGATCTAGAAAGGAAGGGTTGTGGAGCTTGTGGAGATCAACCTTGGATTTAGGAATGGTGCCTTTTGTCAGGCCTGGAAGCCATCTTTTACATTGGGCCTTTAGGCCTGCCACATTTTCTACTGTGAGAAAATGGAGGGGGTTATATGGAGTATGGGAGATATGTAGTCAAACAACATTCCTTTCTCAGAGAGTCAAGGACACATTGCCCTGGCACCTGGAGTCAGATGACTGGCAGGTATCTCCAGTTTGGACAGTGGATGATTGGACCATGTGATGGACATGAGAGTGCTGGGCAGGGACTTGAACTTTCACTTGGGTGGGGAAAACCTGGGAACTTTCAGATTTGGGTTTTTCCAGATATGCCAATATGACATCTCTAATAAAATGGAACTTTGAGGAATCTCGAGCTTCGGAGTCTTCTTTCGTTTGGGGGTGTTACTTGGAAACCTGACACCTTTTTTGAGAGCACATTGTATTCACAGGATGGCTGATCTGGTGAATCCATTTACCAGAAAGTCAATGGTAAGATCTGTCTATGGCAACTGTGGCCCTTTTACAACCTGTGGACTTCAACTCCCAGAATTCCTGATACAGCTAAGCTGGCTCAGAAATTCTGGGAGTTGAAGTCCACAGGTTGTAAAAGGGCCACAGTTGCCCACCCCTGGTCTATGGAGATTCTCAATCATCCAGGTCATGGTTGTCTCAAAGGTGCTTTCTTTTCCCCTCAAAAGGCAACTGGACTATGTTTTTTTCCCCCTTGAGGAAATTTTTTTTCCCCTTGAGGTAGAAGATGTTTCACTTCTCATCCAAGAAACTATCAGAATGGATGAAGCTTCTTGGATGAGAAGCAAAACATTTTCTTCCTCAAGGAAAAAACATTTCTTCCACAAGGGGAAAACAACGACAATACATAGTCCAGTTGCCTTTTGAGAAAACAAGCACATTTGGGACAAATGGTAAGGTCCATTTCCCCTCCACTCCAACCCCAGCTTCTCCACCTCAGCTTATCTTAATCTTTTTTAGCAAAATTTTCGGATTTTCTATTTTGGCCTTTGGCATCTATCGACATCCAGTAGTTTATGATAACACTTATAGTGTAAATAACAAGGGTACTAGAATCTTTGTGTGTGAATGTATGAACTTCCTAAAGGAAGTATAGGCAGTCCTCAACGTACAACTTCATTTAGTGACCATTCAAAGTTACAATGGCACTGAAAAAAGGGACTTATGACCGTTTTTCACACTTAACGACTGTTGCAGCATCCTCATGGTCACTTGAACAAAATTCAGAGGCTTAGCAATTGGCATGTATTTATGACGATTGCAGGGTCCGGGGGTCATGTGATCACCTGTTGCCACTTTTTGACAACCAAAGTCAATGGAGATGCCCGATTCATTTAACAACCGTGTTATGAACTTAACAGCTGCAATGATTCCCTTAACAACTGTGGCAAGAAAGGTCATAAAATGGGCAAAATTTACTTAAGAACTGTCTTGCTTAGCAACAGAAATTTGGGGCTCAATTGTGATCGTAAATCGAGCTGTATTCTTTTTTTTAGTGACCAAGTATTCTTGGTCACCTTTTCCCTCCAAGTGCCTAGTTGCCCACCCTGTTTTAGCATGAGGCTTTGAACACGTGGGACATTTCAAAAATTTGAACATTTGAACACGGTGGCGCAGTGGTTAGAGTGCAGTACTGCAGGCTACTTCTGCTGACTGCCGGCTGCCTGCAATTTGGCAGTTTGAATCTCACCAGGCTCAAGGTTGATTCCGCCTTCCATCCTTCCAAGGTGGGTAAAATGAGGTAAAACCGGGATTGTTGGGGGCAATATGCTGACTCTGTATCCACTTAGACAGGGCTGTAAAGCATTGTGAAGCGGTCTATAAGTCTAAGTGCTAGTGCTAGTGCTATTTCGAAAAATGCCACCATTCCCAAATCCAAGATTGCTCCCCACAACCTATTCTCTGATTGAATAAATGTTTGTCATTAACGATTCATCTAACCAGTATTCTTGTTTCCTCTCCAGGTGTTTTGCTAGATATCCAGCAACATTTTGGGGTTAAGGACAGCGGAGCCGGCTTGCTACAGACAGGTAAGCACACCTCTTCTAATTTAATTTAATTTTAAGGTGTCAGGCTGCCCAATTCCATAGCAACTCTGGGTGGTATACAGTACTGAGCACAAAATTAACAGCAATAACAAAGATAGTGAGCTTTCTAGAAAAAGCGACAACCAGTATCTTCTCAAAATAAAACATTCACATTAGGGACCCACCGCCCGAGTAAAGGGGGAGTATTTTTTTGGAGGGTAAACCCTGGTTTTGTACTTCGTTTGTATTGTTTTCCTTGTGGTCTTTTCCTGCACTTTGAAACCAAGGTTGTGGCATGCTTGTGAATGTGTGCCAGGTTTGCTTCAAATTGCAATTAACTGGCAAATGGACACAGTCTATGTGTCTCCATTGTTTGCTATACTTGAGGAATGAAGCTGAGCAGTAACTGATGGGAATACTTCAAACCTCTGTCATCACTCTGTAATATTCTCTACAAGCAGTAAATATTTACAAGCAGTAGCCTCTTCATAGAGAGCCAGTTTGGAGTAGTGGTTAAGGCGCCAGGCTAGAAAGTGGAACACCGTGAATTTTAGTCCCACCTTGGGCATGAAGCCAGGTGGGTGACTTGGGCCAGCCACTCTCTCTCAACCCTAGAAAAGAGGCAATGGCAAACTACTTCTGAAAAACCTTGTTAAAAGAAACTGCAGGGACTTGTCCAAGCAGTCTCTGAGAATCGGACATGATTGAACAGAAGAAAAATAAAAGATTGTAAGACAAATAGAAGCCAAAATGTGGGAACCCAGTTTTCTCTCTATGATGCAATATTGGTGCTGACTGAGTCAAGAGAATGGAATCATGAAAGGTTTAGGAAAAAAATAAATAGTACAGTAAGGCATCTGAATTCATCAGACCTGCAGATATTGCTGGGAACCTGCCACATATACAGAAAATCTCTCTTTATTTTTCTTGCAAATATTTACATTCATGTGGTACCCATTACATTTAGAAGGGTGAAGAATCCTAGTTCTAAGACCGTTGCCACTTAAGGATGTCCAGATCATTTTGAATTGGGTTCCTGCCAATGTTACAGGAAATAATTCACTCAGTCTATCAAATTTTCTGTTTTTTAAAAAAAGCAAGAGCTGGCACCCTTAACACTTAGCAGTGCTAAGTGCTTGTCCATACAAAAAGCTGAAAGTTCTGGAAAGTCATAATGATCTGGCAGCTGGATCTAGATAGCTGGCTAGGTGATACTTTTTCTGAGAAGAGAAATTAGGCTACATTTGCAAAGTGGATCATTACGATTGCAGATGGTCTGATGTTTTCTCATCTCTGCTAATGAGAAGTTGTTTCTTGCCATTACATCTAAGGCAGTGTTCCTCAACCTTGAATTGTGTGATCACCTTTTGTGACCTACTGACAAGCCAAGTCAATGCGGAAGCCAAATTCACTAAACAACCATGTTACTAATTTAACAATTGTGGCAAGAATGGTAGTAAAATGGGGCAAAAGTCACTTAACAAATGTCTCGGTTAGCAACAGAAATTTTGGGCTCAGTTGGTTGTAAATTGAGGATTACCCATACCAGCAACATTTGTATATCTTTGTTACTCCCCATACAGACTAGATTTATTGGCTTATCCCAGTTAAGTTGGAAAAAGTACTATTTTAGTAGCTTTAGTTCAAGCTTTGTTTTAAGGAAGCAATTACTCAGATAAACCATGATTTGTGAAAGTTCCTTCTTTTTGTCTATGGGGATTTTCAGTCATCCAGGTCATGGTTGTCTCAAAGATGCTTTTTAAAGAGGCAGCTGGACTTTCTGGTTTTTCTTTGAAGATGTTTTGCTTCTCGTCCAAGAAGCTTCTTCAGCTCTAACTTCCATTCCTAACCATCTTCCATTCCCCACCATCCAATCAGAGCTGAAGAAGCTTCTTGGATGAGAAGCAAAACATCTTCAAAGAAAAACCAGAAAGCCCAGTTACCTCTTGAAAAAGCATCTTTGGGATTTCCTTCTTTTTCCATTTTCCCTGAAAATCTCAGGGAAAACCATCTATGCTAAGCAGTGGCATCTAAGGGTGTAGCTGTGTTCCAAATTAAGATTTGGTTTGCCTTTTTGAAATGTAACATTGAGTCACGATTTGCTGAAAGAGAGGTTTTGCAAAATATCCTCAACATCCTATAGGCGTAACTGTGTTTGTTTAACCCACTGCAGCAAAACCCACAAAGGATCTTACAACGTTAATTATTTCTTCATCTATGTATTCAGTTTACCTTCCATCTAAAAGCCAATCCCACACTGATTTTTTAAAAAAAATCAACTAATTAGAAAAATATCAGGCAATACTATGGAAGGTAACTTTGTGGATTGTAGCCTTTTCTTTGTTACCTTCTGGGCGGAGGCTTCGTGGTATCTGAAGCAGAACAACTAGATTCTGTAATAGCTTTGTACCATATAGTGTCAACCTAGTTAACTCTCAAGACTCTTTTTTCCACTATGTATTAAAAATGGACTGAGATAGATAAATAGGTAGGTAGGTAGATAGGTAGATAGGTTAGGTAGGTAGGTAGGTGGGTGGGTGGGTGGGTAGGTAGGTAGGTAAGTAGCAGGGGTGGGTTCTACTTACCTTTACTACCGGTTCACAACGGGGCCGCAAAGCCACTTGCTTTGCTTGCGCTTTGCGCTTTGATGACATCAGGGTCAGTGGGTGGAGCCTCCTGCCAGTTTTACTACCTGCCAGTTTTACTACTGGTTCTATAGAATCGGTGCGAATGGGGGGCAACTCACCACTGGTAAGTAGGCAGGTAGATGTAGATGTAGATGATGTAGATGTGTGTTTATACACAGCATATGTACATGTGTATCGATGGATGGTTATGGGTGTGTCTCTGTATGTGTATATTTCTTTGGAGTATAGATATAAATTGTTTGTGTGTGTGTACACACACAGCATATATACAGTGTGTGGATGGATGGGTATGGGTGTGTGGGTGTGTCTGTATTTCTTGGGAGAATAGGCATCAGAAGTTCATTTTAATGTGTGCCGGTGTGTACACAGAAGAAAATGACAATAAAGGTTATCTTATCTTAACACTATAGAAATCAGGGTGGATTTGATTTAAATCGAGTTGATTTAAACCACAATTTAAATCATGATTTAAATCACTGGTAAAAAGGCTTGATTTAAATCAACTCGATTTAAATCATAATTTTTAAAGAGCAACTGTCATCTCTGCTACTCCTTTGACCCACTGTTGACTCACCGATAGTCCCAATGTTGCAGAATATACAGCCTCATGCTACATAACTAAGCTTCATTTCATGCTGAATAAATTATTTATGTATCTTAAATAGAAAACTATCTTACGATAGATTTTTACCCCCAAAGTTTTTTATTAAAATAAATTCGATAAAAATCAAAAAAATTCGATTTAAATAAAAAAAATCTGATTTTTTTGATTTTTTTAAAAAAATCATTGATTTTTATCCACCCTGATAGAAATTAACATAGCAATATAATTCAACTCCAAGTAGGTTTGGATTAGTGTAGTTAATGAATCCCACAAAGTGGTTGTATTATTTAAATTCACACTACTCAAAGTGATATTTCAGTGAAAATAGGGTAATTGGTTCCAGCTTGCTAGAAATAGGCAATGAAAATGTTTAAACATAAATATTTATGTTCATATTAATAAAATATTGCAGCAAAAGATAAAAAGAATGTACTTTTAAATTAAATATATGGTTAACAGAATCACAGAGTACAAGTAGTCCTTGCCTTTTTACTGTAATTGAGCCCAAAGTTATACTCATAAGTTGTGGGAATCATTAAGCAGGTTACCATAGGACCGTGCCTGATTTTATGACTTTTTTTGCAGCGGTCATTAAGCAAACACAGCAGATGTTAAGCGAATTTTGTAGTTGTTGAATGAGTCAGTTTTCCCCAATGGGTGTTATTGCTGGAAGTAAATACTAGAAACGATCACAAACTGCAGAAAAATACAGTCGTGTGATCTCAGGATGCTGCAAACAGTCGTAAATGCATGCCAGTTGCTAGGCGCCCAAAATATATGATCATGTGACTGTATGGGGAATATAGGTAGTATCTCAATTTATGACCAGAATTGAGCCCCAAATTTATGTTGTTAAGCGAGACATTTGCTATGTGAGTATTGCCCCATTTTACGACTTTTCTTGCCACATCTGTTAAGTGAATCATGGCAGTTGTTAAATTAGTAATACGGTTGTTAAGTGAATCTGGCTTCCCCATTGACTTTGTGTGTCAGAAAGTCGAAAAAAGGGGATCGCATGACTCTGGGACACTGCAACCGTCATAAATGTAAGTCAGTTGTCAAGCATCCAAATGTAAATCACATGACCGTGAGGGACGCTACAGGGATCATAAGTGTGAAAAATGGTCATAAGTCACTTTTTTCAGTGCCGTTGTAACTTTGAACAGTCATAAAATGAACTGGACTACCTGTACAGCTATTCGAACTTCAAAAATGAGTCATAAGTAGCTTGTCCTGTTTTAGCATTTCTATGGCCACAATTATGTCGTTCATTTACAGCAAATTGTTGCTCTAATGTGATAACAAGCCTCTTTTAAACTCGTACTGCTTCCCTCTAATGCAGGGGTGTCAAACTCAAGGCCTGCGGGCCAGATTCGGTCTTCGGGGTGCTTAGATCTGGCCCGTGGGGCTGCCCTGGAAACAGTGAAGGACCAGCCCGCAGTGCCTCTGCCAACGAAAGTGGGCTCCCAATCTCTGTTTTTGGCTGGGACGAGCTCCTGCAACCCTCTGCCAGGGAAAACGGATCTCCATTTTCCCTGGCAGAGGGTTGCAGGAGCCCGTCCCAGCCAAAAACAGAGATTGGGAGCCCGCTTTCATTGGTAGAGCACTCAGGCCGCCACAGGCACCCCTGACATGAGTGACGTCAAGCTGGCCACACCTACCCTGGCCACGCCCACCCTGCCCTCCCGAGGTCAAACACAACCCTGATGAGGCCCTCAGTGAAATTGAATTTGACACCCCTGCTCTAATGG